CTACAGATGTAAATGACTGGGCATTCTATCTAGCAAGTTCCCTGTGTACATCCAGTGACCGGGTCACTGCTTTACAAAAGTTCTATTATCTGACATTGTTGCTATCACCACAGCTGTATTTTCCAACTACCAAATCTTGGTTTGGAGCCCTGGTGGTATGGTTGGTTATGAGTTAAGCTGCTGCCCACAAGGTCATCAGTTCAAAACCACAGCCGCTCCAAAGGAGAAAGTTGAGGGTACTGCTCCTGTAGTTAGTCTCAGAAAGTCACAGGGGCAGTTCTACTCGGGCCTACAACAGGGTCACTGCGAGTCAGAATGGACGGGATGACAGGTTCTCTTTGCTTAATGCTCGGTCCTAACTTTCCCATTTCAGTGATCACTAGTTATCGCCACACCAAGACAAGACTTTCTATTCCCATAGAGAGTTCCAGTCTCAGAAAGTCACAGGGGCAGCTGCACCCTGTCTTTATGGGGTCACCATGAGTTGGAATGGACTCACTGACCCTGTAAGTTTCCGTTGGAAGCCTCGTCTTTCTCCTTTGGAGCAACTGGTGGCTCCAAACTGCCCACCTTGTGGTTAACAGCCCAATGAGTAACCATTACTACACCACCAGGGCTTATCCAAACTCCCCTCGGTCACCTAGAAAGCTAAACGGATAATGGCTTTGTTTAGCTCCGTGACTTAAATCCCACCATTCACACTTGGCCTCTCCAGACCAACTACGGCCCAAACAGTGGCAGCAAGGCAGTGCCAAGTGGGGTGACACCAACACACAGCCCACACAGCCACAGGAAGGGCAGCAGGCACTCAGCTCTGCGTTCCTCCACCACTCAGCGGTCGTGGAGATGGGTAAACAACACATCAGAGGTGGGAAAGTACCAGCATCCTGGCCAAAATTCCAACCCACTTCTGCCAGCAGGCTTCCCCATGACTGACTCCTGCTTTGCTGTGTGTCTTCCAGAGGTCTCGGGGGACAACCTAGCCACCTGCAACAACGAGGTCAGATTCTCAGAGACCTCAGGAATAGGCTCTCCAGCTCCGCTGGAGGGACCAGGTATTATTCTCACGTCCAGCATCCTTTACCCCATCCTCCAAGTGCCTCGTGGTGTCCAGTGGAACAGCAATATCCAGGAACAATAGTGCCAGAATTTTTATTCACAGTCACTGTGAGAAGCCACAGCTTTTATCAGAAACTCATCTCTAAAACAAAAGTAACAGTAAGACTGCCTTCAATTTCAAAGGGGCTCAGAAACATATGCTCACTCTAGCTTTGCCCTGGACCCTAGATGCAAGCCCTGCCCTGCCATCGGACACACGGGAAGGGCCAAGGGGTAGGTTCTCGTCAGTAAGATTTCTGGTCTGGACACCTATGGCGGAGGAGGATTATCTTGGTCCTCAGGGGGCTTAGTAAGAATTAGCTGAGCTGACAGCAAGACATGAGCACAGCATACGTGTCACATGTTGGGGCAGGGTGGACAGGGGCAGACAGTGTAGACCTCCTGCCAGGACAGAGTGTTAAGCAGAGTCAATTACATCTGACCTAAGATTTCTTCAAAGGGAACCCTAAGTCACCTTGTGAGTCATCCTCAGGGCTGTCTAAAGGATGCTGGCATCCTCAGCTCCATAACAGCCAGGTCAAACAGGAGATTTAGAAAGCAGCTTGTCTGTGTGATTTTTATGGCTTTCTTCCTCCCAGCTTTCTTCCTCAAGAAAATGTGGTGAACTGAGTCCCAAGGAACTAGCCTCTGATTGTCCAAATCAAACTGACTGCCATCAAGTTGATTATGACTCACATCAGCCTTCTAAGACAGAGTGGAACATGCTCCCGGGGGTGGGGGTGGTGTGTGTGTGTGTGTGTGTGCGCAGTCTGAGGCCGTATACCTTTAAGGCAGCAGACAGCCTCATCTTTCTCCCTCAGGGCAACCGGTGGGTTCAAATTGAGTGTAACACACTGTGCCACCCAGGCTCCTATTGTACTTCCTAGGAAATGAGCCATCCCTTCCCCTACTCATCACCTCACCCTTCAAACAAAGAGCCGCATCCCCAAATGCAAACTGGCTGAAAAGCTAGCTCTGATTCCAATGCCAGTCACTCACTGCCCACGGAATTAAAGATGACTCCTTGGAATACAATGTCTCAGTCACACAGTGTTGCCTATTTCCAGGCACAAAATATGAGGGGGGCTTCAAAGAGTTTCCGGGAAAAACAGGATTAAGAGATAATGGAATTTCTCCACAGACTCCCCTGTGTACGCCATTCAATTCCCACCTGAGACAAACACAGCTCTCTGGGTGGGAAGGAGGCCTTGATGCCAAGAGCAGAAACGAGAAGATAAAACTGTGAGCTAAGGTCTCAGCTGAGGGATGACACAAGTATCTAAATTTACTCTTAGCTGCTAGACTGTATTGGAATTCAGGCAGCACTGTCCGGTAAATGTAGGGCTACTAACTGCAAGGTCAGCGGTTCAAATTCACTAGCTGCTCCACGGGAGAAAGATGAAGCTGTCTGCTCCCATAAAGAGCTGCCGTCTCAGAAAGGCACAGGGGCAACTCTACTCCGCCCTATAGGGCCGCTATGAGTAGGGATTGACTCATTGACCGTGGCGGTGGTGTTCGTGGGGCATGAAGCTGCACAGACTGACATGGAGGATCGGTCATGCATGCATTATACTGCAGACGATACCAGCAATGTTTCCACAGTGAAGTACAGTACCGAGAAAAAAAGCCACAAAGTGAAAACGCTCCATAACCCACATGCTGCTGAGCCAGGAAAAATGGAAGGAATAGATTAGAAAATCCAAGGTCAAAGATATGATGAACAAAGTGATCCATCAGTATCTGATCTGTCCTCACTGTTCTTGTCTGGTTTCGCCCACTTTAGGAGCTCAGCAGGGAATGATATAATCAAAGGCAACAAAGGCAGGAAGAAAAAGACATGGGGTTGCTATTTAAATAAACCACAAACTCAAGTATCTACGGGGGGGAGGGGGGGTGCACAGGGACAAACAGGCGTGACATTTATCCTCATGAAAAAGCATGATCCTGAGAGTAGTCTGGCGGAGGAAGCCAGGAGGGGCCAGTGAAGGCTCCCTGCAGGCCGCGGGGCCTGGGGCTGCACTCATGAGCCTAAGAGTTGTGTGGAGGATGAGGAGCTGGGTGGGAGTTTTCAACCCTTTCAGATCTAGGTCTATAGTTTTACTGACAGTCAAGGCGCACCCACAAAAACATCATCAGGAAAGAGCGCTCCTTCCCACCTGGACCCACATCCCCAAGAGCTCTGACTCTGGGAATCATCAAACCAAAAACACTGCCACCAAGTCGATCCCGACTCATATCAACCCTATAGGACAGGGTAAAACTGCCCCTGTGAGTTTCTGAGGCTACCAATCTTTGCCAGAATAAAAAGCCTCATCTTCTCCCACAGACTGGCTCATAGTTTTGAACCACTGACCTTTGGGTTAGCAGCCCAGTGCATATCCCACTACACCACCGGGCTCTCTCCCGGAAGCAGAGTGAGTAGCAAAGTTTGCCATAATTCTACCTGCAGGCTTCTGGAAGCACAGTTCGGTGTCAATGTTTCTGCCTCTCTTGGTACTGTTCAGCCATGGCAAAGAGACAGCATCTAAGGGAGGGGTAGGGTATGCAGGGGGTGGGGAAGCAGGGATGGACAGACAGGGTCATCATCAACCACCAAGGCTAGAGAAAGATGCCAGCAACCAGCGTGTGGCTGGGGCAGAAGTGCAGACTCTCCAACTTAGCCCAGGCAAAGAAGAAAGACTGGTGATCTGCTTCCAATAGGTCACTGCCTGGAACACCCTGTGGTGCTGAGTTCTCCTCAAACGCCCATGGGAGCAACAACACTGAATGGAATCGACAACAAGTGTCCTTGGGGTGCTGTTGTGTTGTTATTTAAACGCCAGGTGACGGTATACAAAGTTGAGATATCTGGATTAGTTAAATATTGAAGATCTAGCAAAGACAGGGTGGGCTACAGGGCACAAGCTCTATCCAGCCCCCACCCCCCACCACTCCCACCCAGCACTCAAGAGATGACCTGCTTCACTCTCCAGGTGACTGTTAGCCCACCCTCTGTGAACAATACCATCTTCAATAAAAGGCAACTATAAAGAACTATGCACACAAGGGTTATTACACTGTGTCTGTTATGAAATAAAACTGTATCTGAGGCCTCCAAACTCCTCCTTAGGAGATGGAACATTCCTTACAAGCCAATTTTCACTCTAACTAAGATACCTGTCAGGCCACTTAAGGTGTCCTAGCGGCGTAGTGGTTATGCACTGGGGAGCTAACCGAAATGTCAGCAGTTCAAAACCACCAGCTGTGCAGGAGAACTACCCCTGTCAAGAACCCACAGGGGCGGTGAGTTTGACTTGATTTTTGAGTCAAGCTGCTTATAAGTGAAGTGATCTTGTCTATTTTGGTATTCTACGTGAAACTGGCGCCTCAGGGGAATCCCACAGGCTCCAGCTTTCTGCAATCCACCTCCCGGCCCCCTCCAATCCATTGACTTAGCCAGCACTGACGTTCTTATTTAAAAAATACAGGGGGTTGGAGGATGTGAAGTTTCTGACAGGTAGGGCCGGTCATCACGCACTGACTTGCCTTCCCAGAACCAGCACTACTTCTGTGGCTCAGTTTTCATGTGGCTGCGACAGAGGCGACCTTATTTTCTTCCCAAACTGGTTTGGAGGATAGCTCGACTGGGAGTGAGCGATGGAATAAAACGCTTCTCTCTCGGGTCTTTCTGTAACTTCACAGACAGGCAGATGTCACTGTGTGCCCCGAACGGAGGGGTCCTCCGGAAGACGTTAGGACCCGAGTTCTGCTAAGTGTCTTCCCATTTCTCTGAGTCGTGGACGACGGAACTGGAACCTGAGGATGCCCGGGACCGAGGCGCCCCACCCGTGCTGTCCTCCGGGGTCGCCCGCCCCAGACCTCCAGGGGACCCCGCTCGCCGCCCTCCTGCCCCGGGCACTCACTGCTCCGCCGGGCACCGCGTCGCGGGCCGGGGCTGCTCGCTGGCCGCCACGGCGCCCGCCTCCCGCGCCGACTTCTCGGCGCAGCTTGTGCCCGGCCACGCTCCGGGCTGGGGCATGGCCCCCCGACTCATGCGGCCACCGCCGCACCGGCTCCGAGCGGCCCCAGCCCTCCTGCCTCGCGCCACCGGTAGCCACCGCTAAGGCTCCCAATGCCTTCCCGACGTCCGCAGGGCGCTTCCGCGTACGTCACTACGGCGCGCCCGGTCGGACCCAGTGGGAGGAGCCAGAGGGCAGCGAAGCCGCGGCGCGAGCGCCTGCGCGGTAGAGCCGTCCTCCACTGCGCATGCTCCGCCCGGCACCGCCGGCCACCCGCTCGCGAGCTTTCTCCTGAACTTTGCCTGACAGGCCCGGCGCTGGCCCGGATGCAAGCGCAGCGGCGGGAGAGGCCTGGATGGTTCCTCGTTCGGAGGAGGAAGACCCTCCACGCTGCAGGGGCGACTTTCCAGGACACTCGGCTTCCGAGCGTCGCCGTCTGCGGGCGGGGGTTCCCGGCTGCGGGCGACGGATGTGGGCCGAAGTGATGGCGAGGCTTCTTCAGGCCCTGGGGTCGCGACCGGCCCAAGCCCGTGGGCAGAGCTACGTGTGAGGCCAGGTTGACAACTGGCCGCCCCCCCATGGGCGAACCGGTTCAGCTCGGCCCAGTGGCCTTGGCTCAGCGTGTGTGTACACCGCAGATGGTCAGCTGCTCTCTAGTCAGCTCTCCACCTGTGCAGGGTACCTGGTGGCGTAGTGGTGCCTTGTTGGGCCGTGATCAGCATGGTCAGCGGTTCGAAACCACCAGCAGCTCAGCGGGAGAAAGACAGCTGCCTGCAGTCTTCGAACAGTTCGAACAGTTGCAGTCCTCGAACCCCAAAGGGAGGTGGGCTTGTGGAGGTGTCACTATGCGTCATCATTGACTCAATGGCAGTGAGTTGAGTTCGCTGAACCCCGAACCGAGCCATTACCATCTTCCATCCCGTGAACTCCAAATCATAGCTATCCTACCTTAGAGTCCGGAAAGATTCCGTTCTCTTAATATTCCATTTTTCCCACGAACTTTTTGTCGCCGCCTCTGTAGGACTGCTCCATAGTTTTCAAGGCTGTGAACTTTCCTTTTTTTTTTTTTTTCTTCCCCCAAACACTTCACTGGGAGCTAACACAGATATAGCATTCCATAGTTCAATCACATCAAGCAGTATTGTACAATTGCTACCACAATCAATTTCAAAACATTTTCTTTCTTTTTTTTTTATTGGCTGTGAACTTTCTGAAGCATGTCTCCTAGCCAGTCTTAGAAGGCAACTCTGGATGGGTTGCAACCACCAGTCCTTCTGGCTAATGTAACCACTTGCGTCACCCAAGGACTTCTGTCTTGCAACCCTTTTTAAATTTTATTGTTATTTGGGAGGGTGGTGGGTAACCTGCCTAGAAATGGTTTAAGTAGAGCAAATGTGAAGGGGAATTGGAAGAAACATCAAAGGTGAAATAATTTGTCTTTGGACATGAAACTCAGGAGTAGCTTCTAAAGATAGTTACCGGTGGCTGAAAAGGGCATTCCTCAAGCCAAGGACGAAGACCAAAGAGGAGGAATGAGTTGGCAAGGTGCCAGTTCAGGAACCTGCATGTAGTTCAAAATGGCACCTGCAGGAATGGGTTGCAGGTAGTGGCACCAGCGGGGGTTCAGTTAGGTGACCTCAACTCAGCAACACTACAAAGGAATGAACCCCTATCCCATCCTGCACCATCCTCACACAACTTCCTATGTTTGAGCCTATTCTTACAAGTAGCACGGCATTGAGAGGTGAAAGTGGAAGATCAATGCTGGAGACCAGATCATGAAGACCCAACTTACAGAGCTAGTGCACACTGAAGATCTTATCCTACCACTGCCACTGAGTCAGTTCTGGCTGGTGACCCCATTTAGGGTCTTCAAGGCTATAAGTCTTTACAGAAGCAGAAAGCTTCGCCGTTCTGCAGATGGGCTGATGGGTGTGAACCACCAATCTAGCGGTTAGCAGTCCAACACTCACCCAACTTTGCCACTACAGCCTATGTTGTGTTAGGTGTCCAGGTTCACCCCAGAAGACCACATGGTCAGTTGCAGAAACATCTGGAAAAAACTATGAGTATTATTTTGTTAAGACTATGACATGTTCTGTCTCAATATTTGCTCCCTTTTTAATCTAGATTCTACAACTGATTGCAATGGCCACGCAGAAATCACAATATTCATGCTTAAAGAGTGTATTAAGGCAGTTCACAGGTTACAATGGATATAAGAAATGCTCAGCATACAGTTACTCATCTGGACATGTTAAGAAGTTATTTCAGGGCTGCTAACAAATGCCCCCAAAGCATGCCACTGCTGAAACCCTCAACCGGAAGGCATTCATTTAGTTTAAGCTCCATGGGCCAGGGAGCACAGCTCCCTGAATGAAGTGCCTTAGCCTGCAGATACTCAGCTCCACTACCGTGGATCGGCAAGCCCTGCTTCCCCAGTTACATGCCACAAGCCAGCCTCCTGCCCCAAAGCAGTAGGCTTTCCTTGCTCTGGCCTGGAATACTACCACTCTGTTTCCTGCTCTGCCCCATGGTTCTGCTGCAGCTGCTTCTCGTGGATCCAGGAGGTTCACTGGGTAGGGATCTTGGGGTCCAGAGGATGAGGATGCGCTCCACTGCTGGCTCTTGCTGGTAGTGAGATTTCCCTCCGGTTTCTCAGAGGACTAGTTTAATAGACAGCAGGATGGCACTCAAATACTCGCAGATGAATCCCATCAGTGTCTTCGCCCCACTTTCTTACCCAAACCCATGCAGGAAAAGGTCATTGGGTGGGAATTGGGAGATTCTGCTAAAAGAGCCACACTAAACAATGCACTGATCCTGTGGTTTGTATTAACCAAAGTTTTTTTTTCCTTTCTTACTCCCTTATTGAATATAAGATGTGTTAATAATTGCTAACTTTATATATTACAATTCAAGCTGCAGGATATTAAAGGCTGAGGAATAATACCATACAAGGACTTTGCAGCTCTGAGGAGATTGATCAGTGTGTCTGTTTGCAGGGTGTATTGTGTGGAGGTATGACTTTCCTCGCCAGCCCCCACAATCACATAAACTGATTACGTGTAACAAAATGTTTAATATGTGTGTCCTACTGAATCTACTATGGTTGAACCATGATATATAGAAGTTGTATTAAAACACCTTTAGAAACCTCACTGCCATTAAGTCAACCCCAACTCTTAGCAAACCAAAGACGAGTAGAACTACCTGTGTGGGTTTCTCAGGCTGTGAATCCTTATGAGAGCAGAAAGCCTCAGCTTTCTCCTGCAGAGCAGCTGATTGTTTCAAATTGCTTACCTTGTGGCTAGCAGCATTTTATTGGGGGCTCGTACAACTCTTATCACAATCCATCCATACATCAATTATGTAAAGCACAGTTGTACATTTGTTGCCCTCATCATTCTCAAAACATTTGCTTTCAACTTGAGCCCTTGGTATCAGCTCCTCATTTTCCCCTCCCTCCCCACTCCCCCACCCTCATTAACCCTTGATAATTTAGAAATTGCTATTTTGTCATATCTTATACTGCCTGATGTCTCCCTTCACCCACTCTTCTGTTGTCCGCCTAGGGAGGAGGTTATATGTAGATCCTTGTAATCAGTTCCCCCTTTC